TCCGAATGTCGTCCCTTTTCGCTATTTCTCCCAACGGGCGTTATAGCCGCGTGTGGTTATTTTCACCAATCTCGTGGTGGCGAACTGGACCCGTGAGACCGGTCGCGACAATAACGGATTATTCTAAATTGTACGTGCTGGAGATTGCGCAACTCTTTTTCTCTCTCTCTCTCTCTCTCTTCGACGATGATATTCTCTCTTCGGAAGACACTAACGCAATTCATTAGGGCTAGGGGAAGAAAAAAGAAAACGTTCGCATCGCGGAAACTGAGACGTAAGTCATTTCTAGAGGCTGAGAGAGTTTCGGTTTTATTGGAACGGAGTCGTTCACCTGTTCGACCGCGTCTGACTGCATCCGAATGTAGATAATGAAACGCATGAATATGAATGATAGTCTTATGGTAATCAGTATTAAATAATTAGATTGTGTTACCAGATATCTTTCATAATCCTGAATCTATTCTTGTAAAGATAATATTTACATATGATATAAATATTATGATTCAAAATGATGTATAAATCAGGTCATGGTGTACAATTAGAAATCTCACTACAGTTTTATATAAATTATACTTTCCTTTTTAGAATATATATCTCCTTTTTCAATCAAAATTTTATTATACTTGTTTGTATATAGTGTAAGATAATAAATCCAATTTTAGATTCCTTAAAATTCTTTTCGTTATTATCATTTAAAAAAGAAATAAATAATAAATCTTAGAATAATGATAGGTAACATTAATAATAATTACAGATAGTTTTTTATATACGCATTTGAATTTATTAGAATCTGAAGAAAAAACTGTTGTTGTTTGGAATTGATTCGAAGTACAAACGCCAAGACATTCAAAAGACTCAACGAGTCAATTCGGCCAATGGCACTCCCCGTTTTGTTATATACGTTGCACCGTGTTGCACATTCCGTCGACGTCGTCGTCCACACCACGTCTCCCCTTCGTGGTATTCGAACGCATGCGTGTGCGCCGTCTTGGGGGCCCTCCTCGGGGGGATAAGAGTGCGTGCCTCCCGACAATAATAACCATTAAGTCGTGAGAGAATGCGGGGGCTGACGTCACCCATTCAACAATCGTGTACCTATCGAACGCTGTCAAACGCAGTCATCGCGAGTGTACTCTACGTTAACGCGATGTTTTTTCTCCTCCTCGACACGTATAACTTGATTGTCAACGTCCTTAAAAGAATCAGCGAAGATGATATCGATATTTTCTATCAGGAAAATAAGAGACACATTTCAATATTTTATATCACCTGCTCGTAAAAGCATTTATCGAAAAAAGACCGCAAACGTGATTAATGGTATAAAATAAACTAATAGCTAAAATAAGACAAACGTTTTTATTTTGTATCTTACGTTCATCCTATCGCGTCTAATTGTTGTAAATTATCGTTGGATTTCAGAAAGGAAACTTTAGTCTCTAAGAAGCTCAGAACATAGCCTTCGACTCGCGGAATGTTGGCACAGACTTGCCAAGTCTACTTCCGGGGTGAAGCAAAGCAGCAGCTCTTTTAAGAACAATGCCTCTCTTGTAGAATCTGAACTTGTGTCAAGAATTTCGTATCTTCCACCCTCTATGCTCAGTGCCACTTTCCCACGAAAGGGAAGTGAGACTTGCCGGAACAAACAAAGACATGGTTAGCCAACGCGAGGGGAAAAGACGCGATCGATAAAAGGAACTCCGAGATCGTTAAGACGTTTCCTTTAGCACCCCATGTGCTACCAGACTCTGTCTTTCTCGGTAACCGACGAATGATTACGAAATACACATGTGTGTCTTGAGATTTTTCTGATCGCGAACCGATAAAAAATCTTCCTAAAATGTATTTATGGTTACAGAAATATTAAAATAAGAAAAAATAGGTCTTTATCGATTCTTATTAATTTTTTATATGTTAGTTTATATTTGTGCCCCTTAGTTGACAAGTGGCACTAACTAAGGGGCTCATTTATTCCTTTTCTTTTTAAACAAATGTATCTTTATTTGGTATCAAACTCGAAATTGTGAGAGATTTCGTTGTATCTTGTAACTTTAGGATTTTTGTTTGCATCTTTTACGTGGAATCCGAATGGCTGCAGCTGCCCAGGAATCTTGTAAACGGAAGTCAACTACGATCCAATGAACCCGCTCGATTCTCCTCCTCCTCGTCGACGAAGAGGAGTTATTTCTGACGCTCACACCCCGCGCGAAACGGATTGCTCTTTTCGCTGTAACGCTAACCGCGGATGCACCCTGACATTTTCGCGACGCGAGGAATGTTTTCCGCGCTTCTCGATGTCAATAATTTACGGTTACACCGTTGATTTGTGAAGTAAAACCCGACAGACTGTCTACGCCCAGCCTCGTCTTGTCCTCATTGTTATTGGAACGCACGTGAGGACACCGCGGCAGGATGACGTGTCCTGCAGAAGCAACATGACCAAGGTTTATCCCGTCCTTTTTTCGGGTATGCTGTCATTATATGACATCAGCGGTGAATAGCGCGCCCGCGATGCAAATTAGATTTGTGGTTTTTAACACATCCACTACTCCTCGCGGATCACGTCGGCATTACTCAAATCACGAGGAAATGCTGATGAGACCAGCTGTGGTAAACACAGGGACTTTTTTATTTCGCAATTCCATGAGTCATTGCATTTTTACATTGATTTACGATAAAAAATCTTGACTCTCTCTAATTCTGACATACGAATGTATGCCAGAACTACTGATTACACTTTTCATCCAACTGCAAACTTTAAAAATTCAAAGATTTATTTTTGACAAATTATCACAGAATATTTCTCTTTTTAATTAAAAACGCTCTTTAATACGATTTTATTTTTTATATTAATTCCAGTTGTTACTTTAATACAAAGAGAGAAAATAAGGAGAAAGGTAGTTTCGTAAGATTCATGGTTTCGATGCAATTTTGTGATTTCTTATGAAGGCATATTTCAAAGTAATAAACTTACTCTCTCGCAGGAAATAAGGTATGGAAGATAAATTAGAGGGATAGGTTAAAAACGCAAATCTTAGCGGGACCATCAATGGCAAACCACACCTTAATGTATTTCGTATACCTGATCAATTTAAATCATTGTGCCGTTCCTTCGATCAATGTTCTCAATCTCACCTTTCAATTAAGATCGACTACGTTCCAATATTCTACTTCGAGTTTAATAAACATTTCAAAATCACAATTAACTGCTACGGTAAACGTGTAACAATTTTAGTAAAATAAAAGCTTGATTTTCAGTAATAAGAATTTTCTATATTATTTTATTAAAATGAAAGGAATGCATGATATATATGCAGATAGATAAATATACAGCACAATGAAAAGAAAATTATTTTACGAATGACCATTGCGAGATTTTTTTGAAAATAAAGTAGGTAGACACATTGCGAGTGACATACATATTCGTTGATGCGCATCGCAAAGTGAATATAAACTATGAACGCAATGTTCCACGACATTAGACTGACTGAAAGAGTGCGTGGATGCCTACGAAGCTACGCATAGATTGAGCAATGGGACATCGTGGCGCCTATTCACGTGTATAGACATAGTCTTTGCTAAGGGAATCCCAAGTGGATTTATGGGGATGGGAGCTGCAATCTAACTGGAGCACAGGGGTGCTGGCATGTAGTAGTCAGCCATTAATCTAGATTCATGGACTTCTTCCCGCGTAATCGCTGCACATCTTTCATATTCATTTTTCTGAGGTAAAATATGCAACTATTTTTCAATATCAAAATACAAAGAGAAATAATTATTTCTCTTAAATAAGTATGTTTAATGTCGGGCATATTTATTATTATTAAATTATATTTATTTCACTTTTTGCAATATTGTCTTCATTCCATTGAAGCTTTAAAGAATACGAATGCTCACTTAATGTGCTTTTTGTTAGTTTATCTTTAACAATATAATTTAGAGATTTATTTTATAAATTTAATAGAGAGAGAAATATGAATAGAAGGTAAGATAAAAAATGTAACAAAATTGAATAATATTCTAACATAATTCATACACAATTTACCACATTTTACTTTACTACAGCACTTACTAATCGATTCCAATCACGACGGACGACGATCTAACGATCTTAATTCGCATAATTACCGGATGCTTCTTACCATTTATACGACTCACAATCAGCTCACCTGATTGTGAATCAGGTTCGACCCATTTTTTCCTCATACATAGGGTGTGGTTTACATTGGTTAAAATTGAACAACGTATATGCCTGGGTATAGAAACATCATGACCTATGAAAAAACGAGGTAAACTGATAGCGAACACGCAAAGAGCTTTCTTTGGTCGGTTTAATCGCGATTTCTGCTTCGCATCTCTGATGAGAAGTCGGCAATATCATTGCTGAAAAAGGGATGATGCTGAGGGAAATATTATTGGAAAACCGTGTTTGCTTGTGTCCCGCATTTATGCTCCGTCCTTCCCGAAATCAAGCTTGTTCAGTCGTGTATGAGAAATCTAATTTCAATCAGCGCACCATTCCTCATGTCCATTTCGGACACGATATATGGTTTGTGGTTTCGATGGACGATCTGATCGTCAGCGAACGAGTTATAGGGCAACCACCGGCATTCGCGGTCCAGCGAATTAACGGTTTTGGCGATCGAATTGTCGCTTCGGAAAAGCAGGATTAATTTCGCTTTAATGCTCCTATCTCCTTGTAAGGGAGAGTGGTCTAGATTGGACCGTGTTCCAAGTAGGACTTTTTTAATTTATTGTAAATGAATACGATTAAGCAGATTTGCGTACTATTTATAATGTAAAGTCCTTATAAGACACCGAATATGTGATAGCAGTTTCTTGTCATAACATTCATAAAATAGACGTAAATATGTATTTTTAGCCATTGTGCGAAAATTTTGTTAAAAAAGAAAATTCTTGTAAATCATTACTTAAAAGGTGTTAAAAATTTGAAAAGTACTGCTTAAAGGCCACTTAAATAATATAATATTCATTAATTATAGGCTTATGTAAACCGACTAAGAGTACGGAGGACCTGAATTACGAGGATGATACTCCTTTCGATGATGATAATGAGGAAGATGAAGACGAAGAGACTGATAATACCGGCACCGCCGAGATGCCTCCGCAAATCTTATCACGTGCAATAAGCGTTCGCGTAAAAGCTGGGGATACCGTTATATTGCCTTGTCAAGTGGTCCATACAGGTTTGTAGAACAACAGGAGTCTCTTTTATTATTTACTAACATACTAACGAGTATGACGATACGTTTTAAAAGTGTCTCTCTATTTTTCCAAAATTGTTTAGTATTTCGTTAAACTTTTTTTATAACAAAGGAAATATTTAGAAGAAAAAATGAAATAAAATAAAGAACTTTAATTGATACTCTGTATGCAATTTATTATCTCCTGTTCTTTAATAAGTTTATCACGGATTATTTCAGACAATTATGTGGTTGCGTGGTTGAAGGACGATAAGTATCTGTACTTCGAATCGCAGACATACACTGAGGACGACAAGAGAATCGTACGATTGCCGAATAACAGCCTAGTGATCTACAATGCGACGGTCGAGGATAGCTCCAACAATTACAAATGCAGTATTCTGCAAAATCCTCACTCCATAGATTTGACTCACCGTGTCTTGGTTGATGAAAATCCGCGTCAAGAATCTACGCCGCCGCAGCACTCGCACAAAGGGATCATACGCGTGAGGCCTTCGAAGAAGGTCGAAGTGAACCAGGGCCATAATATCACGCTCGGTTGCGAGACCGACATACAGCCGCCGCCCGAGATCAAGTGGTTCATTGAGGTGAAACGTCATTAAAAATATCATTGATAACTCTAATGTCATCATTCCTATCACACTGTTTTATCGCTGTAAAAATATCGCAATATTCGTAATAATTACAGACATTAAAGATATTATGGGTAAGGTTTTATTAACAAGGAAGGCAAAGCTAATTCCGTTTTTTTAATTTTAGAACAAGAAGGTGGACGGTTACGATCCCGACGTGATCCTGGATGGAAATTATATTACGATAAGGAAAGTGAATGAGTCTCATAGCGGCCTGTATCAATGCCTCGCTGAAGATGGTTCGGAGATGCCAGCGATGGAAGCGATCAACGTCGTTGTGAATTGTAAGTTAATTGCTCATTCTTATTTGGCCGGCATGACTTTCAGTCTGTTTTGCATAAGCATATTGATGTTAGCGATTAACACATTCCGTTTTCGTGGCAGACAAACCTAAGATCGAAATGGAGAGACTAGTCTACAGCGGTGCGGGTATAGAATCGGAAATTACGTGCATCGTGAGGGCCCATCCCGTAGCATTCGTAATGTGGTATAAAGATGACAAAAAACTTACGCAGAAGAAAGGATCGATAATGATGTATCATAGGATAATACCGAAGACTAACAAGAATTTTAACATAACTAAGTATGTTTTAAAAATCTTGCATACTTCGGCACGGGATTTTGGCGAATACAAGTGTCGTGCAGAGAATACCATTGGTCAAGACATTAGATCTATTATCTTAACAGGTATGATATGCTGTTACATAAAATTATATGAATATGTATATACTATATTTAAATACATATACATTGCATAAAGAAAATATAAGATTGACATTCCTCTGTAAGATTAATGTGTCAGGAAAATATATTCAAGTGATATATTTTATTTAACTTTTATGAGTTGTTACAGAATTTAGATAGGTAAACAGATTTTCATTTGCAAAATATATTTTAGGTGTACCTTCGCAAGCGACGATATATGGTGCCGAAATGACTGATGATGATGCAGGAATCATTCTGAAGTGGCGTTTGGAGAGTTATTCGCCGATCAGCGAATATAAGGTAAACATTATAAGAAGAAAAATATATGCTTCTTATTAGAACTTAAGAAGTAAAAAATATAATCTAAAATACAATTTTTTTACTTACAGTTACAATATCGTCGCAAGGGTGACCCGGAATGGAACTTCATCGAGCCTGAAGTCAAAGATGGTAAAGGAAATCAATTTACCGTAGAATATGCAATTCGAAACCTTCTGCCTGGATCCTATGAGGCGATCCTAAAGGCTAGAAATGCATTTGGATGGTCTTTGGACTCAGAACCGCATACATTTAGTGGTGGTGCGTATATTAATCTTATATGAATTTTTATACGTATATATACATTTTATATCTATATTGTCTGCGCATTTAAAAATAAATTTCGTGATTTGTGCATTATTTTATTATAAATAGACGTTGAGTCGAATAAAAGATTGTTATCTACAAGAGAGAGAGAGAGAGAAAGACTTATTAATCAGTCGTATAGTGATTTATAATTTGATTATTAAATTAATTAGATATACAATTAAACAATTTAAAGTATTAATATACATATAAATAATATAACAGATTACAAATATTAAAAGTTCGTTTTCTTATTTCGTTTTTAGATTATCCTCCTGATTTAGCATTAAAAGGTACGAATACAATTTTTTCAAAGAAAATTCATTATTTTAAATGATGATCTTTTTTATCATCAGTTTTTAATTTCCTATTTATTTACAGGAAATTCGGCAACTGTACGATCTCCTGGAATGTTTTTAGCATTGATCCTAGTCGTTTTATCTTGTGCCTTCACAAGTCTGTAACTCTTTACTTAAATCTTTAAAATATGTAGGTGAGTATGACGACGTAAATCTATGAACAAACGATAAAAAGCTTATGATAAATTTTACTAAGTGACTTAAATGATTTATTTATGACACAGGTAATTTGCTGCAGCCAAAGCAACACCAGCAAACGCCATGGTGGATTTATTAGTGTAGGAACACTTAGGGGAGACGTGGCGCTAATAGCGAACATACATATTTTTAGTGCAAATTCCCCTCCTTTATTAGGATACATTTTATGTACATATATATTTAATAAAATATTTTCAAACATGCGGGCATTATCGAGACACATTAATATATATTTTACATAGTCAAAATTTCGTAATTAATATTGATTTACAACTCACCTAGGTGTTCCATTAAGACGCATTGTAAAGGAAAAAAATGAGCATTTTAATTGTACCGTAAAATCACGAATAATTATTAAGAGATATTGTACTTTAAAATATATACATAATTTATATATATATTATACATACATATATATGGATACGTATGTACGTACATACGCTCATGTATACGTGTGTATATGTACACATAATATAGTATTCACTATACATGCGTAAGCTCACAGAGACACACAATCATATTATTATAATTTATTTTTGTATGCTTAAGATTATTAGAAACGTGTTCAAAGAAGTCGCTTGGTGCCATGTACACGAGTCTACTACTTCCGAAAAATCATGTATAGAATCTGATCTGTCGTCCACAATGTCTTGCACATGTGGAAAGAACATGTACCTAAAATAATATAGTAAAAGAGAAGTAAATATTATAGAAACATATATGCTATTGCGATAATACGTGTATAACCGAGTCGACAAAGAGTATAAAGTTGGAAGCATTCATACCGAGATTATCGTTCATACAAGAATTATTCATTAACATTACGTCCACGTTCTCGTATGTTTGCTCCCAATGGAAGCAAATCTTTCTTTTTTATTTACTCCTATGTTTCTCGAATATGTACAATGTGATGCGCGAGTAATGAATGTGATTGGAGCGAGTATGAGAGAGAATGAACGTTCTATTTAGTGTTTTCCATAATAGTTTGCTAGCTTTTAGCGCTGATACGTTGTTATATTGATTTATAATTAATGTTATACGCAGTAATACTATAAGTAACTATAATTGTATAAGAAACTGCCCATTTTAGAAACGGCCGGTGTGCTTGTCATATGATACATATGAATAACATTAATACATGAAGAAAAATAGCCATATTCTTTCTAAAGTACATAAAATATTATTTACACAAAAATAATAAGTCTGAGTGTATCATTTTAATATTCTTAGACAAAGCAACTTGTATTTTTAAATCGTAAATATTAATTATTTATGTATTTTCCAATAACAAAATTTTTAATCATTATGAAAGTTATAAATGCTTATTAAAGCACGATTTTATACTGTACTTATTTTATTTCATCGAATTTCATTATGCTACTTTAAAGATTTTTTATATCCATAATTTTTTCTCAACGTATATAATTTATTTTTAGGAACGAAAATGGCTATGGGAAAGTTGCAACATATAAAAATTAAATCTTTGTTATCATCAGTCTGTTTCATTATTAATTATTAAAAGTTTTGTAAATTTAGTAAATTTGATAACAACGAAACTTATTTATACAAATTAATCAGGCTTGAAATTGTAAAAATACATAATGTACGTATTTTAAATTTTAGTTATGCAATTTTATCTTATATGTGTAGACTTGAACGTTTATTTTAAAACACGTCGACAATATATATATAAGAAAAGTTGTTAGTCAGGATGGTTATAAAACAATATATTAATACACAACACACCTGATGTGCATATGAATATAGCTTCTTGTTGCCTTAATCAATGTAACATGTACAATCAAGAAAATCGAAAGATATATTAATTCGTAAGATTATACCTGCAGATACATAATAAACAAAGTAAATGAAAACGTCCTGCGAATTTTATTGTAAATTATTAATACAATCCTTGAAGATAGTGTAAATAGTATAAAAATGTTTATACTATTATAAATTATTTATCATATATTTATTATATTTTATAAATTGTACAACACGATAATATTCGATTTATTTTACATCTATAAGATAAAATTCATGTTTAATTAAAATATGATTTATTTCATATTTGTACTTGGCTCTCAATTACAATTTAAATAACTCTTCAGATTTCAAAATCTTCCTCGGCGGCTGGCAATATTACAGTCGTAATAACCAAAGGTTTCGGATTTGATTTCTTGCAAAGTAATATTTTAACTTTCCCTGATATTTGACCTTTCAAGTTTGCGTTAATAGCTAGTGGTATAGGCACAGCACTTGGTAGCAAGGGCAAATCTATCACACGAGGATTCACATCAGTGTCCTCGGCTCTGCAGAGAATATACAATTCTGTTGAAGATAAATCTTCAGAAATATTTGTTATTATAATACGAATCATGTAATTGGGACCTAAACCAAGAACATTGGTTTCTAATGTGATAGGATTAGATCCTAGTGCTTGGTTTTCGCTTAAATGTTCGGATGCTTGTTTGGCTGTTGTCAAACGTAAGCGGAGAAAGCCTTGCTGAAATGTGTTATGAATCTTCTTTGCCTCGGCTCTCTCTCTTATCGTTTGATCGATAAATAATCGCGTTTTCTTCGGTATCGAGAACTTCGATGTGTTACTCGACGATAGATTCGATATTGAATTATTCGTATTAAAATCAGCAGTGCGCTTTAGGATTTTCATACATAAACCACCCCCAACAGTGACCATAGCTATTGTCCGTTCCTCTTGTCCCATTCGTCCGTACTGCATTCGAAAAAAAAAGATGATATATATATTTATATTTTGCCACTTTTTTAAATATACACATAAATGTTGCTGATTTAATACCTTAAGAGCGGATACAGGTTCCATAATTTTCACAGTATCAACATGATGTTTTCCATCGTAAATGCGAATTCCATAGCCTACTGTGCTTACAGCTAACAAAGACAGCCCATTTTGCGGTACTGGTAAGCTAACTAGATCTAATATTATACCGGGAATATTGATATGCCATAATTTTATTCCCTATATAAAGAAATTTATATATCAGAAAGAAATTTAACATAAAGTTTTTAACATTAAATTAAAATTCTTTGTCCAAGCGTACTGTTTTTGAAAATCCCACTAAAGTACCATCCATAACAGCTACTGCTGCTCCTTGAGAAGTAAGAACGGCAATAGCTACCGCAGGTGCGGGTAACGTTTCCCAAAGTTTTACAGAACTTCCTCTCCTAATTGTTCCTATTTTTCCATCTCTTCCAATAATTATTATATAACCATCACCTGTCCATAAGCCGCAGCTGGCAAATATTGCTGGTGGCCATTCCAGTATATACTTATCCATGACTGAAAAAGCTCTGTATGGCAATTAAATAATATACATATAGAATATACACAGAGTATACAATAATATACATACAGAATATACATAAAATATTTCAATGAATTTTTTTTTAATTATACAAAAAGAATACCTAGGATCCAAGACGAGAACTTCACCAGCCTCAGTTCCTAATATGAGACAACTACTAGCAGGATCATTCCAAGAGTCTCTGCGAATGATCGTAATTGCCGTTAAGGCATTAGCTTTAACAAGCGGTATCCGTCTATATTGCTCTGCAAAACTCAAGCGTAAGTTATTATCTAAAGAGAGAAACTTTAAAGTACGAGGAGAGAGAAATGTTGCGCCAAGTTCTTTCAGTAACAGCTCCAAATCATCCGCAAGAGTCAACACATTTAATTCTTCGTCCAACCCGCATTTATGCCAAATCTGTGTTAAATTATTAAATGTCAGAATATGTACTATATACTCAGAATAGAAATATCATACATGAAATTGAGATAATCCTGTATCATTATTTATTTCTGTACCAATAAAATATAAGTACTTCTCGTTCTTTTGGATGAGCATCAATATGTGGCAGACAATATTTGAAAAATGGTCTCATATTTTTGAAAATATATACGCTAGCTCCAGCTCCTACAGCAACTACGGATGACCGATGTTCTCCATTTTCCGTATAAAAACCGACTACTCCACAGGGTGGTTCTATCATGTTATGTTCAGTTATCTGATCGCCTCCTTTATATACTCGTATCTAAAAATAAAAGAGTAATGCATTTTGTAAATAAACAAAATAAAAAATTGTATAAATTATTCATGAAATAGAATGAACATTTCCACATCATTTGCTGATTCTAACTTAAAAAATTGTATGATTATATATCTTTAAAACTTTTTAGTCATATAGAATATAAAGTATTCTATTATAATTTATAGAAAAATGAACTTTTTTTTATCTGTTTTATTCATATAAAATCCTAATTTTTATAAATTATTTTATTATAACACTATTAAACTATATTATTTAAAAATATATTTGTACATGTGGCTCTATTATATTATTTTCTTGTCGTAATTATACCTTTGTTGAATCGCTTCCAACTGGTCCTAGATCAGCACAAATAAGTCTAGCATCTCCATCGCCGCTTATATCTAGCATATCAAGACCACCTGGCAAAGAAAATAGACCAGCACTTGGTTCCCAAAGTGCTTCTAACCAGCGACTCATCCCAAGTCCTCCGAGAGATTTATGATCAGCTCTAAGAAGAAATTCCGATAAAAGTAAGTGTATAACAAGCATTAAAAAAATAATGTCTTAATATTTTTGTATGTACACACACACACACACACACACACACACACACACACACACACACACACACACACACACACACACACACCCACACATGCAGATCAATAAAAAAGTTTTTTACCTTAAACCGTGCATGATTACAAACTTTTGTAAATTCTGTTTCTATATAAGTAGCAAATTTATTTACAGTTTAATTACTAAACTACATATCAGAGTTTTCTTATTTATGACATCTGTAACATTTATTTATATACATATTGCACATTTCGAACCGAAAAAAGACCTTAACTTTTTACATATTTTATTAATTCTATAACTGACAATTTTATAATCTGATGAACTGACATTCCATAACTAGGAGCACATGTATTAAAAATTACATCTACAAATTACATGACAAAATACCATGTGCTTTGTTTGTGTATTTGTTTCCATGGAAATCTTTTGACAAATGGCTCGAAAGCGGGAAATTTAACTGTATCAAAAATTCCCTAGAAATTAAAAAATACTTTAGATTTAGGTTGGCTGCCCTTTTCACAATCAAAATAATTTTTCTGAAATTCCCTAGAAACCGCGGGAAAATACGTAAAACCAAAGGAAAATCTATAATTATATCGCGAAATCTATAATTATAACGCGAAAAGATCAAGAAATATTAAACACGTTATTAAAATTAATTTTTTTAGTAAATTTATGCATAGCTTTTTTCTAATCATATGAGAAAGAAATTTTAATATATGCTTAAAAAATTGTAATATTTGTAAGGCCGGAATCAGACTATGCATTGAAGATTGAGATTGAAGATTGAAAAATTCAAATTTGACCAATCGAAATGAAAGGAGCTAAAATTTCTTTGTCCTTATTGGTCAAATTTCAATTTTCAATCTTCAACCTCAATCTTCAATGCGTAGTCTGATTCCGGCCTAAGGAATATTTTATTTTATTTTGCAGTATATTTTATTTAAATTGTAAAATAAAGAACTTTATTGCAGAATGTATAAAAAAAGCTGTACAAATTTTTTTAATATAAAATAATATTTTATTGGAATAAAATGTATATTTCATATAAAATTATTTTATTGTTGCTATTTTTATATAAATTATGACAAATAATCGATGAATATCTAATGAAAAATAATACATTTATTATTATACTTGCATTGTTAATTTTCATATAATACTGATACTATTCATGGATACATTTTAATGAAAAAAACGTGTCGCTCACCATTGAGATTTCAAATCCATGTAAACAACATTATTTGTCATATTAGTTACACTCATGCATATCATATAACACGTTTTCAAAAATTGATAACTGAAACTTATGGAATATACAAAAGATGTTAATATTATACTTATTATTAGTTTAAGTTAACATTTAATTCTCCATAGCCATAAATATTGTACGTATGCACATTTAAGAGCATTAATACTGTTCAGTGCGCTTCACAGTCTTTAGGACATACGATTTACCAGCTTTTTCTGTTTGTTCACAGAATAAAGTAGCTGTGCTATGCCATTAACTATATAAATAAACTATATAAAAGATATTCTTCTTAAATATTAGATTAACTGCCGAGTATGAGCGTACCAAATGATATAGATGCTCTTGATTGCACCTATACGTACATATATCTGTACTAATTAGGAAGCCCTCTCTTTGTATGTGTCTCTGTGTGTGTACTTGACTGTATATATGCGTATTGTATGTATGTACTGTAGATATATGTAACAAACAATAGACCACATGTTTGAGTAATGACCTTAAAGCTATTTGAACACAGCCAACAGTCACATTAATTATATGATATCACACCAATGCATAGAATAATATACAAAAATGATTATTTTACATACAATTTAAAAAATACAAAATTGATAAAAAAAATAGCAAATTGAGATTCCTAGAAAATGGCACATAATTTCTAATTAAATAGTGATTGTTTTAACGAAGTAATGTTGATAATGGAGATGGTGGCAATGACGGAGATGGAGGCCTTGCAGCAAGAGTTTCCAATTCACTGCAATGAAATTGACATACGGAGCTAGAAGTGCTTAGAGTTGATTCCGAAAGCATTCCCCGTCCTTTATAAGCTTTCTTTGCTCGATTGTTATCTTTGTCGGTTTCAACTACCCCGCCATCATCATATTTACGATAACAAATTGATAATATTTTGAGTCTGTAAAAAATTCAAGTTATAATCATTGATTAATTTATATCTTGTAATATCCAATTGCTTTATTTTAAAATGTATTTTTAATATTATAAATTTAATATTATAAATGCATATAATAAAAATTGATTACCTGGGATATTTAAACTGAGCAAATTGTGAAGACGGTCCTATAACTGCTAACATTGGACACAAAAATAACGTTGCATATATCCAACTTACTCCCATTACAAGCACTAAAAAAAGACCGATTTGTATATACGCTAGTACATGAGAAGGTAACATTAAAGCGCCCGCAGCACCACTTGTAATTGCTGCCATAAGAGTAGGACCACCCATTTGTTGTAGTGCCGCTTTTACTCTGTCTATTTTCTTCTCAGAGACGCATGCTTTATAACTCACAGCGTAATGCAAGCTAAAGTCCACAGCAAGTCCTAATAAAATAAAAAATTCAGAAATATTATTAATTTCACAAATAGTTTAAACTCATTTTTTGACTTTTATTTACCTATTGCTGTAGTGATTGCAACACTTTCTAAAATATTAAGTTTCCATCCAAGAAGAATAAGTATTGCCACGGTTACAATTATTACAGCACCAATAGCTAGAATTGCATACAGGCTAATAAGAGGATTTAAGGTCACCAGCGCTAATACTATTAGAGCCAAAGTTAGCGATACTCCCATCGCATATAAGGTTCCATGATATAATGTACGTTGAAGCTCATAAAATTCTAGATGGCTGATAAACCATCCACGTCGCATCCCTCGAGGCGCAGTTCGTAATTGATTCTGCATCCAATTTTCAACCTGTGTTTAAATTTAAGAAGTTCGATTAAACTTTACCTCAAGGATTTATACTTCTGCAAATATTATCAATTCATGTTATTATTTACTAATACCAAATAAGTAATACTTGCCTCATTAAAAAATTTATCCATATTTCCAAACGAGAGACTATATGCGTATGTGCTATCATATTCTACAATAAGCGCTTTAATTTTAGGTATTACTTTAATTGGAAACGTATCGTTTGATGCCTGCGTGGACAATAATGGTTCTTTGACAAATTTTGGACCTGCAGAAAGTGGACCAGTCCGAAACCACAAGTGAGGCGTGTGATGTATTCTATTGCTAGCTTCAGCTGCACATTGTTGCAGAACGCTTGGTTTGTAGGATCGATAGGATCTTTACAATGTCTCATCATCCACGTACGTAATGGATCAATAAAGCAATTAGATAGTAAAGGTCCAATAGTGCTACGGTAAAAAGGTTGACTCCGTAAATTTCGGCAAAATTGTTCAAGCCATAATTGAGATTTTGGATGAGAAATATTGAAAGTATCATCCCAGTCAGGTGTTCCTCGTTTACGAGGATCAAGGTAATCACCATTGTCGACTGGATTTATGCCCCAAACAAATCTTAACGGTAAAACTTCAGCATCTCCGCCAACCTGTACACGAATCAAGTACATTATAATTATATATATTTGTGATGAAAATATATCTATAAATAAGTAAAATAAGCACCATTTCGTATCGTTCAAACCAGAATCTCCGTGAATATACTAGATCATATTTTTCGAACGGATGTGTATCATGGAATAATTGAAAATCCATATAATCTGGCAGTTCCAAACCCGGATAATGGAAGACGATACTGCAACACGCTGATGCCATAATCCCCAAACTTAATAACCAAAACCAACGTAATCGAAGCACTAATCCAGTAAGAAAGGTGGTAAATCCTATTGTCACTTTGTCTCCCAAAGATCGTAAAGGACGAATAATTCTTCTGGTAATAAAATTGACAGGCGATAGAGTGGATAATTTACAATGCTCTGACACAATCACACACGCAGGTAACCATGTAATCATCAAGAAAAAATTTGCAATGACTGTCATGCCTGCAAATAAACTATACAAAAATTTATTATACACACACATATATATATACAGTAGTTAAGATTTAAATATGGAACAGAAAAATGTTCTATGGATTAGCTTTAGAATAAAATTAATACCTGAAACAATTTATGGCAGTCACATTACTGACAATTGATGCAAAAAAAGCTACTGCTGTAGTAAGAGATGTAACAAACATAGCTGGAAAAGCATGTTTCATTGTTTCTTGTACAAACTGTACTAATCCATCATTTGAAAGTTTTTGTTGTTTCCTAGATTCCCATATCTTACAGTAAATAAATGCGTCATCTGCTCCAATACCTGTAGAAAAATTTGTTATAACAATATATTTATAGGATTTTTATGTAGATTTTACTTATGATTTTGATATAATAAAATACTAACCTACGGCTACAACAATGGCCAATAAATTCATAAATGGAAAAAATTTAATATGTAAAACAACAGTATAAATTGCATATGAAATGCCAAGGCTAAATACTACTGCGAAAATTGTTGCTATAGTCAATACTATAGAGCCAGTATATGCCCAGATACAAAATGTAACAAAGATAAAACCAGCGAGTACCAGACTCGAATCAGACAATATATCGCGATCAAATAGTATACTTTTTAGACCAAGTTGAATGCCTTGAACACGAAAATTTCCATACATTAAGTCATTATTATCTATTGCTTTATAAAAATCTAAAGTCGCAGAGCTTGCCGCAATTGGAAGAAATAGCATTGCAGAATGCAATGTCGAATTTTGTTTGCTGGAATCCGTCTTCTGTAACAATCCAATTAATATCAAATTAAATATTTATTTGTTAAAACAATATTAAAATAAATTATCGTCAATGGACTCTTACACTCGGGATAAAATTAACGTCTAAAAGATAGTGTAATAAATGATAAGCTGCATTTCTCATGTAGCATTCGGTTGGCACATGTTTTTGGCAATTGAAGTCTTCTGCACAGTTAGGCGTCAACTGACGGTTATGATAGTAATAAGCGCATTGTTGCAAAAGTGTTTTTACTCTGCTAAGATCCTTCTCTGTTATTCCCAAACAAGAACTGCGATTTGATAAAAGTGCCACATAGTTAGCTGGTGACCAACTTCTACAACATTTATGATTTGCCGCATCATTGCGATTGATTTGCGTCTGGCACAAAGATGGAAAGTGAACGTTTCCACGAAGTACACCATCAATATGACATTGAGCTAATACACCCTCCATCGACCATAAATTTAAATTTTTTTCCTCTGAATCTACGGCGATCACGACACGAGCATATGAAGAAGTTGGTAGATTACAGAAAAAATTATCACTATCAAGATGATCTTGAGTCTTGTCATCCTCTATATTTGCATTATGCGTATCTCTTAATTCTAATAATTCTTCCCATGTATCTTTGTCTTCTTCACTCGCTTCTTTATAATCTGTGTTATTTAACATTGTTTGATGTTTCTTCCCCTTTTGTTTATTTTTACCTTTTGGTTTTTTTCTAAGAATACCCTGAGTAGATAAACTACGATTTTGCATATTAGCCTGAAAAATTAAGTTAAAAATTTAATGTTTTGCTAATTATTTAACATATACTAATTTCTAAATCCAGCTATCTGATTATGGATAAAAAGAAATATTAGATATTTAAAATAATAAAAAAATGAAGCTATAGGACAGTTAAAAAAATTTTTTATCATCCATACTTGTTGAGTTAGTTGATGTACATAATGATAATATTCTAAAGGATTATCAGTAAGTTCTCCTCTTCCTTTTGTAGCTTCTATTAAATGATTCCAAGCTGTCAGTCTTTGTGCTAAAACTGTACCTCTTGCCTCAAAACCCTACAGTATAAATATATATTTGAAATATATCTCAATTGTACAGAATATTTTTTTCATTCTTACAAGAAGGTGCTTCTACATACCATTTGAGGATCCGTAAAATCTGGAAACTTTTCAATTGTAAGTGGAATAATTAGACATACTAAAGAGAATATAAAAATGACCAGTAAAATGATATACGGATGATGAGCAATTATACGAGGATACCAGGATGCTTTCATTTTACAAAGATTTCTCTTATTTTTGTATGTATATATAATATATATATATATGTTAACTTTTTTAAAATATCTATTTTAAATAAATATCTTTAGATGTGTTGTAGATGAAAAACCATCAATACACACGATTAAAAGTCGTCATTTATCATTCATATACAGTTCGTTGAATAATTTGTGATAGTATTAAAATACACCCTTCTATAACAAAGGCAATTGTCTTGCATCACATAATTATGCTCGTCTCATTTTATTCAAATACCCTCCGCAGGAGGGTACCAAATGGTTTTAGTCGAACAATTTTGTTGATTCCTTTATTTCTATTACAGTTCACGTTCAGATTCTAATTTTAAAAGCATCGGAGTAAATTTTTTTATGTCCCGAGTCGCGAATGCAGAAACGACCATACGAATGTAGTGAATTTCAACATACGCGCATAAACAAAATTATTGGAATCTGTAGATGCTTCTTTTTATTATCGTGTCATTAATCAATTCAAGTTGAATGTGTTGTATGTACTCGTGATTATCTCGTTAATATTCCACGCGGAGAAATTATGTATCTACTCCGAATAACAACATGTGTTTACATTACAGTGACAAATGGTATGACCCGTTGCTGCTAGACGAGACGCTTTTCTCACACATGCGCGGCGACAACAGCATCCCGATTCAGGATGCTGCCCTTTGCCTCACTCTTGAGTTATTTTGGCAGACATTTAATACGTGTGAAAGATTAAATGCTTGAGATTAATTAAAAATAAATAACAGTTCGTTAAATGCAGCATTAAAATAATAAGCAAAGTTATATATTTTGAGCGCCTAGTAATCTTAACTCTCGACAGCCAATAACAGAATGCTCTTGTTAGGAACTTGATAAACGACTTTCTATTCCCTAGAAAATGAATCTTTTGATTGGATAGCGAATCATGTCGAAAATACTTTCTGCACTTTTTGCCTTTCTCCTTTTTTCCTCTCTTTCTTTCTCACACATACGTCTATCTTATTTTAAGTGCAGGAGAGAAGACGTTAACGTACAGCTGCAACAGCAAACGGAGCAAATCTGTGTATTGAATCTTCACTTCAATCTAGTCGGAGTGAGAAAGTAGGGATAGTTGTAGGCTTGTAGGCGTGTTATCACGTATGATATACACGAATCAACCTATCCCACGTAGTGCATCCGTGCTCCACGTTTCTCGTATATATCATGTATGTACGCTTGCGTACGTATAAATATCACATACGTACAAATGTCACATAACCCGCCACGGACGGCACGTACGTAAGGAGAAATCAGGAGAAACGGCAGACGGTCCAGAATCCTAAAATATTGTCACGTCCACGGGAATAAGACTGTGTTTTTCATACGTGCGTATTACTCCGTTTTATTATAGTTATCGTTCTCTTTCAATTGAGATACTCGAGATTCTCAAATACACGTAATCTCGCGATACGCGGAATATTGTTTTGTATCAGATCGAATCATCAGATGTTTACGTTTCCCGCAGCACGTAGACGCACTGATGTGACTTGAGAGCAACGGGGTTCCAGTAGTGTGTGATTTGCGTTGTCACTTTTATCACGGTCTGATTAATGTTGCGACAAGCCGGTCGCATTAGCGACTCTTCCTGAAACGAATCTTGAAACTGAAGGAAGAATGTTCTACCGACTGCTCCTAGCAATTTTGCTTTTCCACCTGCAAGTAGGCGGAAATTATTTTGGAAGTAATTCTAAGAAAGATGATCAATGTTTCTGCAAGGTATCGTGAATATTATTCTTGATGTTATTTTCTAAGATTCGAATTTATTTTGTTTTTTTTTGTTTTTGCATTTTGCAGTTTTAAAGGTAGTATTATTAATTTTATATCACATTTTTATTTTTAAAAGCAATGAAATATTAAACAGGGTCAATGATCAAGCCAAAGATGGTTGATAAATTACAATACTTATTTAATTGAACACACAATTTAAAATCTATGTAAAAATACAAAAATATGAAAGATCATAAAATATAAAATTAAATATATAAAATTAATATAACATATCCTAAAATGTCTCACCGAATTTAATGAATATTTTATCATCTAATGTATAACTGAAAAAGGATGGATGGTCCCGAAACGTCTTATTAATTTTACATATTTGATTTTATATTTGATGATCTTTTATATTTTTATATTTTTACATAGATTTTAAATTGAATATTCGATTAAATAAGTATTGTAATTTGTTAACCATCTTTGGCTCGATTATTGACCTTGTTTAATATTTCATTGTTTTTATATTAACAGGAGCGTCTTTATACATATAATATTTATTTTTCTAAAATAAAAAATTAATTATGTCCTTATAGAAATATCTTAATGTAATTAAAAATGGTTATATATTTATAAATACTATATTTATTATATATAGATTATATTATTATATTTATTATATAAAAAATCAAAATTATAGTTGAAAGGGTCTGTAGATGACTGTACGTGCAATGTTGATACTGTGGACTATTTCAATAATATGAGAATATATCCAAGAATTCAAAGTCTTCTAGTCAGAGATTATTTTAGATTTTATAAAGTAAACTTAAAACAGGATTGCCCATTCTGGGCCGATGATAGTAAATGTGCTATACGTTACTGTCACGTGCTACCCTGCCAAGATGTAAGCATTTTTTATATTAAATGCTATTTTAAATAAATAGTAGTTTTTTTTATTTTCTGTAACTTGTTGCAGGACGATATCCCTGAAGGTTTAAAGGGAGATATTCCAAGAGATATTCATCTTAATGAAAGTCCAGTAGATAAATACAGAGCCAATGCACAGATTAATGACTGCAGACACAGTGCAAAAGATCATAATATGGAGCTTGGTTATTTGAACACAACAATTAGGTAATTAGTAGAGTATATGTTAATATGCAAGTAAAAAATCAAAGATTAAGCAAAGATAAATTAAAGATAAATTTGATTATAGTTCAGAGAATTACAAAGAATTTGAACGATGGCAACAGCATGATGATGCACAAGATAATTTCTGTGTAAAAGAATCTAGTCCTGGAGAGTATGTGGATCTTTTACTTAATCCTGAAAGATATACAGGATACAAAGGAGCCAGTGCTCATAGAATATGGCGATGTATTTATATGGAAAATTGTTTTAGGTATATGACTATGTTATACCAAATATGTTATTTGTGTTTATTTTATTGTATTAATTTTATTCGAGTCTATATGTCATATTTTTTGCATAGGCCTGAAAATTCACCTCACATTTTTATACAATCTTCTAAGATGAACGGTAAGTTCTGCATTGCATCTCAAATCCATTCTTCATATAAACCTATGACTCAAGCGAATAAATCATATTTTTTCATATAATGCATAAATTTTTACTTATGCTTATTTCAATTGTAGTTTAAACATATTTTTGAAATCATTTATATAAAATATCATTTTAATTTATTTTGAAAAATAATACTAAAAAATTTAATATAATTATATTAACATAATTATAATTATAGTTAACATTAAATTAAACATTATTATATAAATTACACTGGAGGACGTGGTTCCTGTTGTTTGAATAAAAGATACCATTTCCTATGTATTTTTGCGCGCTGAACACGATTATTATTCTTTATTCCTAACATAAATATATTCTTTCAGGAATGTGTTTAGAAAAACGAGTTTTTTACCGAGTTATATCCGGTTTACACACCAGTATCAACATACATTTGTGTTCAAAATATTTGTTGGTCCTGCAAGATAGTTTACAAGTTTCACCTGACAATCAATGGGGTCCTAATTTGGATGAGTTACAAAGAAGATTTTCTCCTGAAACAACAGGTGGTGAAGGTCCAAGTTGGCTAAAAAATCTATATTTTACGTATTTACTTCAGTTGAGAGCTCTAGCAAAAGCTGCACCTTATTTGGAAAGAGAAGAATATTATACAGGTAATGAAGTGGAGGATGAGGATACAAGATTGGCTGTGAACGACATATTGAATGTTGTTAAGTAAGTATATAATATTTTTTACAATATTACAGGATGGGCATCTAAAACAAAAACACTGGAATAAATACATGGGTATATGATATCCATTTCATAGTCTGTGTAACAATTACTCACCTCATTCACACTGGGTTAAAAAACTGGAGGTGACCTCCATGTGACCTCGAAAAATCGATTTTTTTGAAAAATGATTCATCATATTTGTCCTCCTTCGAATTATACAATTGGTCTGAAACATTTTTCTCTACTGTGTTTAATTTTCGAGATATTCCGGTGTTTTGTTTTAGGTGCCCCACCCTGTATATGAAATAATTATGAATTATTTATGCAATTTGTATTTTAGATCATTGCCGGTACATTTTAACGAATCAGTTATGTTTACCGGTGGAGCAGAGGCACAAGTGTTGAAAGAAGAATTTAGACAACATTTTATAAATATTTCACGTATTATGGATTGTGTAGGATGTGACAAATGTAAGCTATGGGGTAAATTGCAAATCCATGGCCTGGGCACTGCGTTAAAGATATTATTCTCAGGAAAATTTGATAAATGGGAATCAACACTTAATAACCTTAATCCAAAGTTATTCTTTTTGGAAAGGAGTGAAATTGTTGCTTTGGTGAATGCTTTCGGAAGGTAGATACTTTATTTCTAAATTTTATATAGAAAAGCAGAAGGTTTCTAATTTGTTAATAATATAATAAATTTTTGCAGGTTATCAGAAAGTATTTTTGAATTAGACAGATTTCGCAGGATGATGAGATAACGTATTATCTATTTGTAATTAGAGATTCTTCAGTACCACTACGAAACATCACGTAAACACATCACATCGCTTAGATTTTCTAAGTAACCTTTTAAGTGCTCTCCTTAATTGTAGATGGTGGATTTTAATGCATCCGACTTAATTGTGTGCGTTTGTATTAATAATTTGAACGTTGCACATTTAAATTAAATTAATATAATTATATATTTATATATTATACATCATAAT